GAGTGAAAGAGATCGAGTTCAAGTTCGATGAAGAACAGCTATAGTGAGAGAGATCGATATTGATCGTGAGCGAGAAGAGCAGTTCATGAGAGATTGTGTTACTTTTGGTAATTGGAATGGGGTTAAGTGTCTGTTAAGTTAAACAGACTTGGCTCATTGAGACCATCAACAGGCATCACGCCTTGAAAAACGCGTTGACTATTGAGATATATCACATCATTTTATAAAATGTCTTGATTCAAGTGCTATCATAGGCAACTTTTCTTGTAGTGATAACAGTTACAATTATATGCGGAGAAATAAGAATTTTTGTCTAAGTTTTTTTTTTTGATTTGAGATTTTTTAAAGTTAAAATTTATCGACTTTTACAATTCAATCTACTATGTCACGAAAAAAATGTGAATAAACTAATAATATTAATAATAAAAAAATATTCAAAATTTATCTCAATATTAAAATATGTAAGAAAGTCAGTGCCCATTTTTTTAGTTCGCTTTGGATCCCAAAAAAGTCAGGACTAGTCTTGGCCATTGTGTCATTTTGATTCCTGTAATTTCAATTAAATAAATTTTGACTTAAAATTTTTTATTTTGTTTCAAATTGGTCCAATTGCTAGCATTTTTTTTTAATTTTATTATTATAACAAATGCGTACAATAATACGTGTCATACTTTTAGAAGTAAGATTATAAATTTGATCAATTTAGTGACTTAACTTTAACCAATTCAATGAAAATTTTCTGTTAAAAATCCTATTGATGTAAAATCTAAAATTAAGGGTAAAAATTAAGCCAATTGAAACTCTAGAAACTAAAATGACACAAATAGTAAAATGTAAAAACTACTGATGTAATTTGCCCTTCTAAGAAACATGTTTTAATTTCTATGGAAAATTAGTAAAACATTCCTCTCCAACTTTGGGTGGTAGGAGATGTCAAATATGTTTTTTTTTATTAGTTAAGATCCTTCGATAAAATTTCTCCGTGATCATACCAGAGAAATTTTGAAATTTCTCTGTGATCATATTAGAGGAATTTCTCTGTGAAAATTAAAAAAATTTCTCTGTGTTAGGACAAAATTTCTCTTTATCAAATTTTGTTTATAAAAATGTTGAGCGACCTCGTTTGGTTTGGTTTTGGGAGATAAATTTAAAAAAAAAAAAATCTTGGAGAAAGAGTTTAGAAATTTTTTTGGTTTGTTTGGTTGTATATTTTAGAAATAGTTTTGAAGTATGGGAGTTTGGGATGATTTGATATTTTGTTGTAGTTGAGTAGATGTATGTGAGAGAGAAAAAGTAATTGAAAATGAAAGAGGAGACAGAAAGAGTGATTAATTGATGTGTAAGAGATAAAAAGTGATTTTGGAATTTTTTTTCCAAAATCACTAAACCGAACAAAATTAATTTTTTTTTTTAAATTTGTTTCTAAAAAACAAACCAAACAAGACCTTAATATCCCTTATCTTATAAACTTTTAATATTAAGACCTTAAAATTTTTTTTCCTAATTCCTAATTATGTGTCAACAACTATAATCGACCAATTTCAAAATAAAAAAATTAATACAAATGCTTATAACTGGACCGGCTCCGGGGTATGAAAAAAGACAAACAAACCAGAAATAAAGATCAAAAACCAGAAATGACTAATGAGCAGCATCTATGAAACAATAGTCGATTTATATATATTTGCTAAAGTTTATAGGCAACTTTTTATTACTTTAGATTTGAAAATATTTGTTGTTAGCTGTTGTACGTTAACAATGTTTCTCTTCAGCTTTTCAAATAATATTTAGCTTAAAAAAAAAGGGATTAATTGCAATTGTTTATCTCCAAAAGTATGAGTTTTGTAGATCAATGAAGTGATTGAAATCATGCATGGGGATGGCTTTTGTGTTTTTGTTTCTTCTTCCCTTTTTTTCACTGTTGATTCCTCACCAACCTTGGCTTTTCTTGATATATGGTCATATGTAATCATTTTGATTCTTTATTAATAAAGTTTCTCTTTACTGATAAAAAAAAAACGTAAGTATTATATCATTTTAGCTTATCATATTTAATTTGTATCAATTTGATCCTTATTGTATGAAAGTGTTTAAATTGTGTTAATATAATTCTCAATGTATAAAAAATATTTCAATTTAATCCCCTAATGTAATAGTAACAATTTTAATTTTTATGTAAGTACATATTGTATAATGAATATATAAATGTAATACCTTACTTTACTCGGACTTTTAAGCGAATTCTTAATATGTCTTATCACATTAAAACTGCTTTTCAATATTGCTCAACTTACAGTATATTAGAAAATTGACTTACATATGTCATTTTTCTTTTAAAAATGCTACATATAATCCATTTTTTAATCTCCTTTTGTCAATCCTAAACACAAGTAAGTGACTCCTATGTACATTTATTGATGTGGGTTTAATTACTTTATATCTAAGAGTAAGAAAATGAGATAACATAACCAAATCAAACCTTAATTCTCATCAAATAGGGTCGGTTACATGAATCATTCTTCTCCATGCTGCTCCATCAAAGGCCATTTTATTAGTCAAATTAAGTAGATTCATATCTATATTTACTACGTTAGCCAACGTCAATGTAAATCTATTCTGTCCCCTAACACTTCCATCTACCTTTACTGCATCGTATCTCTTCACTACTGTCTCTGTTAGTCTACGTTGAATATAACCAAACCATCTCAATCTATTCTCTCTTAATCTATCCCCTCGTGACAATGAATCCATAAGAAAATGAGATAACATAAAATAAAATTATATATAACATGGCTCATAACATTTTGTTTTGGAGATTGATTGTTCATAGCATTTAGAATCAACAAAAGTTTGATACTGATGGACTTCTATCGTAGGTTCATTTTGTATGTGTTTGAATCATAAATTTAGAAAGAGATTTTATTTACATTTTACCCACTTTTTTTTCTTTTTATTTTTAAATCTTTATCCAAATGTATGATCCAAATACAACTAAACTCTCTTGAATTGAAGGATTAAACTAGGGGAAATCATTCAACAGTGGGACGGGAAAAAAAAAAATACACAAATATAGAAGGTGCAATTCATCTTGTGATGGGATGCAACTCAAACTCTGTGCAACTTTGAGTTGCACCCCTCTATATTTGTGTATTTTTTTTTCTCTATGCCACACTGGAGTGATTTTCCCATTAAACTAAACAGGTGAATTTTTACTTGTTATGTCTAGCTATGATATTGGGCCTGCATCCAATCCAGGCCTACCAACTTCACACGCTAATTTAAGGGGCACTGACCGGTAGGTCTTATATATAAAGTTCAAAACTCATCTAGTCTCAAAATAAAATGCTTATACCAATTAGTCATATATTTTTAATTGTTACTAAAAAATCCTATATATATTTTTAAATTTAAAGACGCTGCTACATTTCACCACAATCGGACTTTCGCCAAACGGTTATCGGAAGCTCGTCGGAATGTTCAACTGCATCGGAAAGTAGCCGAAAATTCGCCAGAGTATCGTCGAAGTGTTCTAAACATCACTAAAAGTCGCCAAAATGTTCAAAACATTCATTGGACATCAAAAATATATCGTTGAAGATTTACCGAAATGTTCAGAATATTGCCCAAAAAAATAAATGGTGAAATTAGAGCAAAAAAATATGACAAAATGTGCTAAATATTGATAAACTGAAAGAAGAAGAAAAAAAGAAAAAAAAACCTTAGCAAGAAGCAAAACAACAATGGGGAAAAATATAAGTTATTTTTCAATTTTTGTAAGGTTTAAACAAATAATCACTTATATTGATCAAACTAAAAGTAAGCTTTGAAAATTTAAAATTATTACAGTTTCAAAGTATGATTTTATTAAGTATTTCTCATTATTAATTAAATTGAAAAACATGTTATGAAATTGAAAAAGTTTGCAATAAAAGCATGTTATAAAATTATAAAATTTTACAGTTTTAAAGTATGTTATGAAATTACACAAATTTAGCAGTTAAAGTATGATTTATTTCAGTCCTGAAAAAATTGAAATTGAAAATATTGACATTTTTCATTGCCTGTAACTAAAACTAAAAAAAAATCTTATTCAGAATTTAAAAATTTTCTCTATTAAAATAAGAAAAGAGAAGTATGTAACAGAGAAAAAATAAAAAAATTGAGAGATTGAAAGACAGATATAGAGAGAATTGTATTCCGACAATTATTTTTGGTTTAGATCTAGCCGGACCTGATGTAAATCTACATCAGGTAGATATACATCATATCAGAGTAGATCTACTCATCTTCTTTGCTGGAAACTCATCTCTTTCTCGTTGGTGAGGGCGAAACAAGGAATCAGTGGTCATTAGTTGCCGGTGAACCATAAACGATGGTGGTCACCTGTGACTATACATTAGAAAGAGAAAGAGAAGAAGGAAGACATGATCGTTGGTCGCCGGATATCAAAAAGAGAGAAAGAGAAAACGGGAGGCGAGCAGGACCTTTAAATCTACCCAAAAGATTCCTTAATTAAATAGAGTACCCCTCTTTCAATGAGAACTTGCGGGTAATTTGCTCCTAATTCAATAGAGAGTTTTTTCATGAGTTCTGTGTACACTCTACCTTAAAATATTGTGTTGGGTTGGGTCTGACTTTCGGAGCCATTGTGCCCATTCATCCCACGGGGTTTAGGAACCCTCCAATATTCGTTGGCACAATAATGTTATTATCTTGAAAAGTTTTACTTATTGTAAAAGTTTATATTAAAATTTATTTAAATGATTACTTAAAATATTAGCTTCTAAAATTAATTGTCTTATTTTTATTGATAGGGAGAAGAGATTTCGGGATTGTAATTAACATACTATTGGGAACTCTTAAGTAGAAATTTAAGAAGTGACATATTATCATATAGATTTATTTGGTAGTGACCAAGGACAGTTAAAGAAGTTAGTGACATGTTCATTTAATTGCTACGAACTTCCAAACTTGTTGACAGCCGAACAAAAAATGAAAAATGAAAAAAAATTGTAATGCTATACCAAGAGAATCTTTGTACAAAACTTTTGTACAGAATGGTGTGATTGTTTGTGATACTTCGAATTCAAACTAAAACAACCACCATTGTGACTCATACTTTCAAAAATGTGAATGACACCTCATTTTGGATGAATGAGATCTTGTTTTTAAAATTCTATGTGTATACCATATTTCATAACAAAAAATGACATGGTTCATGTACCAAAGCCAACAGCTAGCATGACAATAATAGGGCACATCTCTTGCCCATGAAAGATTTTTTAAACCTCAGCCACTGATAAGTTATCAGACACCGGACACCGAAAATGACCAGATAAGTCAGTAATCAGCAGTAGCAGTAGTAGTTAAAATAGGCCAAAACGAACTGGAACATTGTCAGATTTCAGCCAAGTATCGCCTTGTATGAAGGGACCGACTGTAAATTTGGTTGCATCTTCTTTGTTAGTAATAACCTTGTAACCAGGCCACTTGACTCTGGCAGTAACACTTGCCCCGGGACCCTTGTTCTTGTACTCTGCATAATAGAGTGTCTTGAGTGTAGCCTCTTTGTCGTCCCAGCGTAACCATCCTTCAGGATGAATGAGATCACCGATCTCTGATTCCATGACAATGGTTCTAGAGTATTCTTTCCAGGGCCTTCCAAGGTAACTCTTGAACTTGGCTTTCTCAGGCTCCAATTTATCATCTGCCAAAATTTTACAGTTTTGCAACACTATTCCAGTGGTTTCGTGCTTACAGATCCTTCCTTGGGCAGTGACAATGTTTTGTTGGTTGTCCATTGGCTTCCTAACATATATCATGCAGTTTTGGAGAACAACAGATGCATCTCCAAAGATGAAATCAATAGTGCCGGTGATGAGACAGCTACGATAGAATTGGCGATGGGTTTGAACGTATAAGGTGTCTTGGTAGCCCTCCATACGACAGTTAACAAAAATTGAACGGTCCGATTGGACTCTCAGAGCCACTGCCTGATGCTTTTCTGGACCAGCAGTGTTTCTGAATCCCATAGATTGTGCCATAAAACCTTCTCCTATAGCCGCTGCAACCAATCCAGGTAGTGTATCACAAAAAATTAATACTACTCACCGCTTAATAACTGAAAAGTATTCAGAAATGAGCTGTGACTGTGTGTAATTGAAACGTAATACCATACAAATAAATTTTTTGTGACCAACTGCGGTCCATTTTTTTTGTAGTAATGATATACAAACAAAATTTTGGTATAATTTTTTTTATACAAAATGGTGTGAGTTGTTTGTACAAAATTTCTATTTGTAAATTATTATTATTATTATTTTATTTTATATAAATTATGACTCATAATTTTAAAAATATTGCTGCCACTACATCATTTGAATAAGTTTTTGATGCAAAAAAATTTGTTCTAGAATCATTTTAATTTCATAGTTAATGTTGTGCAAATATAACTTTTATACAAAGAGAAAAGATAGGGATCATGAAAATTTTTTCATGAAAATGATCATGAAAGAATTATGACCCTTGGATTACCTTGATTAGTGTGCGGTGCTTTATTTTAAGTGTAATTCAAGGGTCATAAATCTTTCATGATCATTTTCATGAAAGTTTTTTCATGATACCTAGTATTGCTCTTATACAAAATACATAATAATACAGAATAATATGATATTTTGGGGAAATTTCATTTCCAACCAAAATATTTACAATTGTGATGCTTAATTTCAAGAATGTTACTAGTACTACATCATTTTAGATGAATATTTGTATAAAAATGAGTGCTTGTGGATAATTTTGCTTAATTTGTTTTAAAGTTAGCCGAGTTGGTTATAGCCCTTACACCTCCATGATTGCACCAACTGGGAGGCCAACATTACAAATTCTGTTATAGATTCTCATGAAGCTTATTACTAAAAACAAGCCAAGCCAAATGGAGAGCTCCATTTCTAATAATAAAATAAAAATAGAGCTCAATTTCTCATGCTTGTTAAGTTGGTAAACATACCAAAAGTTGCAGTTTGGAATGTTCGAGTTCCATCTATAAAATTTTTATTCCCTGTGACAATACTCTTTTGCGATCCCTCACCATACATGGTCACATTAACCATCTCTTTTGTCACTGTGATGTACTCCTCGTAAATTCCTGCTTTAACGTAAATAACGTACCTGCGTTGTAATAAATGTGAATAAAATCCATCAACAAAAAATATACCTAATAGAAAATTTAACCAAATAAAATCGATTATTTATGTCAGGAGAAATAATGCATCCAAACATTTTTAAAAAAGAAATGCTAGATGCACAGAATTAGAACACAGTAAGTGCCCGCTTCTTATTGCACTTCCTTTCCTTTCCTTTCCTTGATGTGAGAAGAAAATTAACCACAGCAATGGAATACACATACCGTCCTTGGTATTTTTTGGGCATTGCAGCGAGCGCAGCAGTAATGGTACTGAAGTTTCCGCTTCCATCTTTTGCGACAGTCACGTTAGGGGTGAATTTGTCAGCCGCCTTTACTTTGAGCACTCTTCGATCCTCATGGGTCATCCAGGACGGAAGCCCATCCTCGTCCAAGGATGCGGTGGTGGTCGATGACGTCGTCAAAAGGTGTCGATCGGTTGATCCTGTCGCAGGTGCCTGTAGGAAGTTAGAAAAGACAGAAGCTACCTGTGTGATAATGGCAAGAGCATTGCTGGTGTGTTCCCTTGTATTCTTCAATGCTTTCTGCATTGCAGTTTTCATTTCACCTTCGGGGAAACCATCGATGCATGTTTGTTGGTAAGACATCACCGCGCTGAGCCAGTTGTTCAAATCAGGGGTTGCCGAGGACAGCTTTCCCAAATTTTGATTATTTATATCTGATATGGAACTGTTTAATTCCTCTGTAGCATCGTCCAGGAGTACCGTGCAATCCTCAAATGCCCCTTGCTGTTCAGGGGTTTCAAATTTGAATGTAGCGGTCTGGTTTTTGGCCTTGTTGAGCTCAAGCGCAGCCACTGAGATCGCAGCCTTGAGAAGATCCTTGGGTTTGGGCGTTGCAGAGGAGTTGGAGCCCACCGCCTTCAAGAGGCTGCTCTCGCAAGCTTGCTTGTAATCTGTGGGGGCACATATCATTTTTATGGCCTTCTGGGATTGTGAAACACCACCCTCTTTCGTAGGATGAGACGGAGGAGAATTGCCTTTGCCATTGCTAGTGCCATTGTTGGAATGATTGTTGGTACTGGCCAAGCGATTTTTATAGAGGACGAAGCAGACTGCAGCAGCAACCGCAAGGAGGAGGACAATGATTAAAATTGAAGCAATGATTATCCTCTTTTTAAGCTTTTGTTGCCTCTCTCTTTTTCGCCGTTCTGATATATGGTCAAAATCCTGAAAAGCCATGTTTTGTTTTGCTTTGCTTGCGATTGATGAAGTACCTGTCAGGCAGAGGCTTCTCTCTGCCTTAAGGTTTCAATGCAAGGCGAGGCCAAAGGTTCTTCCTTCTCTGTATTGTTTTTTTTCTTTTTTCTTTTTACTTTTTTTGTAAAATTTTTATGGCTTTTGGAATTTAGTTCTTATATGACTCTTATTATTCAAGTAAAGGAAGTAGGTTTGGATTAGAGACATTTTAGGACATCTATTCAAAAGTTAGTTAGTTAAAATGCTTGGACAATGGGAGATGAGAGCATTCTGTCCCTTTACAACCACATTTTGTGAATGTTTTCCTCCTCGTCGTCCGCATTTTCTTCAAACTTGTAAAATTTCGTAAATGCTGGCCCCTCCCTATCTCTCTCTCTCTCCCTCAAGTGCTTGTTGTCCATCCTCAAAGTATCAGCCAAACTCTTTGGTCTATATATTGTGCTTGCATAAGGTCCAAAAAAAAAACCGTATCCCTACCTTATTCTAGTATAGGTCTATCTCTATCTCCATAGGTAATTTGTATGTAGAGTATCCTTATGATGCAGCGTGAAACGTGAAATAATAACAATCATAGAATCTATTGATTCAAACAAGAATACTGAAAGATTCTTCCCTAAACCCGTTGATTCACAAAGAATACCCAAAATTGGAACAAAAAAATACAAAACTCGAAATATATTAATTCTCAAAAACTAAAGAGCCCTAAGGCTTAGATCCATTATTTATAAGCAAAAGACAGACCTAACTTAAATAGGAAACAACATGAATTGGCAAAAATCATAATGCAATATGGAAATAAAGAAATATAACGAAAATTATCAAAACTGAAAATATTGCAATAAAATAAAGAAACTACTAATATATGCTTCCACGATCATGGAAGATTTTTTGGAATCGGATTCTGAGGCCTGTGCTAGGAGTAATTGAAGGTTCAAATCCTTCCCAAACAGGGACGGAACCAATATTCTATCTGTCAGGGGGCCAAAATCTAAAATAGAAATATTCATTTAATGTAGATTTATTTGTTTATTAAATTAAGATTTTTTTTTATTGACCAAATTGCATTTTTTATTTTGAAAAACCACTCACTTAAGCAGTAAGCAGTACACAAGAAATAAAAAAATTTAAAAATTTAAAAAAAAGAAAAGAAGAGAGAATAAGATTTTATCACAATTTATTTATCATATAATATAATATTATTGCATTAGCAACAAATCTGAATTATAGAACTCATTATACTAATGCAATAATAGATAATATTATAAAAAGAATTAGGCATAGAAATATAATCATCATAATATAATTGTTCTGCTATGGAATTAGAAAAGAGAATAACACACAAGAAGAAAAATAAATAAATAAAATAAAATAAAACACAAGAAGAAGGGGAAAACAAAAGGAAGAGAGGATAACAAGAGACATTAGAAACATAAAAGTGGGTTATATTGATTCATAAATTTGAGTAGGAATTTAGAAAAAGAAAAAAAAAATATGTGTATGAAATGTAATTATATATTTTGTTCATATTTCACCTATTTTTTCTCATTTCTTTTTTAAATTTTTATTCAAATTTATTAATCAAATACAACGTACATACTTTTTCACATAGAGTGTCCATGAAATTATTCGAGTTAAAAGCAGAATAAAAAAATAAGAAAGTGGGGGTGAGGATTAAATAGAACATTTGTCAACTGGAGGGCCAATAGACATACACATATAGAAATGGGTATCAAGTAGCAGTATACACAAAGCAATTGAGGCAAGGCAGGGCGGCCCTGGCCCCTTACTGTCTACACTTGGGTTCGTCCCTGTTCCCAAACACAATAAATTTGCGAAATTGGCCACCCAAACGATTGAATTTGCCCAAAATCTGCCAGGGTCCATGGATTCTTCTTAAAATCACATTTTCTAGATCCACCAAATTTCAAACGATTCCGAGTCCGGCCTGTTTTCTGCCTTTGCCTTGACTATCCCTTTGATCCAAGAACTATATAGCTATGCATGCTACATCATCCTACCTTATTTTTAGAGATGTTAACTGTTAGGGAAAATATATAGTTCTCCACAAGTAAATCAATTAATGGAAATAAAAATTAATGTGAAAAAATTAAATCAAAAGCAACACAAGAATTTTTACATGGTTCCCTCAATGTGAGGTATGTCCACGGGATTAAAATCCGATTGCACTATCAACCAAAAAGTTTTTAAACGATTACAAACGAGACACGAATGGTCTCACAAACCACCCTTAGGTGAATTCCAAATAATCACAAATAAACAAGAAGAAAGACCTCACCAAATAGATGAACAAAAATCTTTAGAACCAGAGTTGAAGAAGACCCAAAATAACGAACCAAATCAAATCTATTAAACCAGCCAAATTCAAAGTAGCCACGAACGAAACAAAGTAATTTTCTAAAGCTTGAACAAATCACTCCACCAAACTTAAATGCCACCGAATTGACTTTTCAATTCTCTAAGCCGCATAGCACCTCTTTTTCCTCGGGAAAAAACCAATACCAAATATATATATATATATATATTGAATCTAGGGTTTTTTTTTTTTATCAAATCCCTAGTTGTTACCAAACTGAATTAGGTCTCCACAAATTAGATATAATATATAAAAATATATTATAACTAATACCAAACTAAATTAAACTCTTTTAATAAACCAATTGGGTCTCAAACTCCAATAAGGAGATATATCCCGACAATTCTCCCTCTATCGACTTAGGTGGAGATATCAACCATACATGCCAAAGTTCGACACTTTAAATGTTTGTCCCTCGACAAAGTCTTAGTCAACATATCCGAAATATTATCATCTGCGTGAGCCTTTTCGAGTTGCAACAATTTCGAATCTAACACATCACGAATCTAGTGGTATCTCACATCGATGTGTTTCGATCTCGAATGAGAAGTAGAATTTTTGCTCAAGTGAATAACACTTTAACTATCACAGTAAAACACATATTTTTCTTGCTTCACACCCAATTGTTGCAAAAATTTCTTCAATCATAACTCTTCTTTGCAAGCTTTCGTAATGGCAATAAATTCAGCTTCAGTAGTTGAGAGAGCAACACATTTTTGTAATTTAGATTGCCATGCCACAGCTTCCCCTGCAAAAGTCATCAAATACCCCGAAGTAGATTTCCTAGAATCAATATCACCAGTCATGTCTCAATCTGTGAACCCATTAAGCATCGGCTTACTATCCCCAAAACATAAACATACCTTCGAAGTCCCTCGAAGATACCTTAGAATCCATTTTACCGTTGTCCAATGTTCTTTACCCGGATTAGAGAGAAAACGACTCACCACACCAACGGCGTGAGCAATATCCGACCTTGGACAAACCATGGCGTACATTAAAGAACAAACTGCTGAAGTATAAGGAATTTTTAACATGTCTTCTTTGTCTTTCTCACTTGTAGGACATTGATTTGAACTAAGCTTAAAGTAACCCGTAAGTGGACAACTAACCGGCTTTGCTTTATTCATGTTGAACCTCTTAAGAACTTTCTCAATGTAGCTTTCTTAAGACAACTGAATCAGCCCTTCTTTGCGATCATGAACAATTTTCATACTAAGAATTTGCTTTGCCGACCCCAAATCTTTCATAGCAAAAGATTTACTCAACTCTAACTTCAACTTGTTAATTATGGTAGAATCTTGTCCCACAATTAACATGTCATCAACATAAAGCAAAATAATAAATTTACCATTCGAAATTTTTTTCACAAACACACAATGGTCCGAAGTGGTTTTAGAAAAACTATTATTCATCATGAAAGAGTCAAATTTTTGTACTATTGCCGCGGAGCTTGTTTGAGACCATACAAACTTTTCTTCAATTTGCAAACAAATTTCTTTTTTCCTTTTTCCACAAAACCTTCCGGTTGCTCCATGTAAATTTCTTCTTCAAGATCACCATGAAGAAATGCGGTTTTCACATCAAGTTGTTGAACTTTAAGGTTCATACTTGCAGCCATGCCAAGTACAACCTGAATAAAAGACATCTTCACAACCGGTGAGAAAATCTCATCAAAGTCAATGCCTTTCTTTTGCTCAAAGCCTTTCACAACATGACGTGCTTTGTACCTCAAATTCTTGCTATCATTTTTCAATTTGAAAACCCACTTATTTTTCAGAATTTTCCTCCCTTTAGGCAACTTCACTAAATCATAATTGTGATTTTCAAGTAAGGCATTCATCTCCTCTTCCATTGCCTTTTTCCAATAATCTTTCTTTCCATGCTCAATTGCTTCTTGGTAGCTCTCAGGCTCCCCTTGATCGGAAATCAATACAAATTCATTGGGAAGATACTTTCTTGAAGGTTGTCGGTCCCTTGTAGATTTTCTCACAAGTTGTGGTGGCGGTTCTTGAGTTGGATGCTCTTCCTCAATTTCTGGCTCAAGTTCATTAGGATTAGTATCATCCTCTGCATCTTCAATAGGTGGTTGCACATCTCTCCCATTTTCATCATCAATTAAAGATGAAGGAGATGGATCCATGTCAATGAGATCACTAGTTTTTGGCTCCGGTTGATCACTTTTGCCAAAGTCTTCAATTGTTTGGTCTTCAAGAAACACAACATCACGGCTTCGAATGACTTTCTTGTCGACAGGATCCCACAATCTATACCCAAATTCATCACGTCCATAGCTAAGAAATATGCATTGTCTTGACTTACTATCAAGCTTGGACTTCTTATCCTTTGGAATGTGAACAAAAGCTCGGCAACCAAACACTCTTAAGTGCTCATAAGACACATCTTTATCGGTCCAAACTCTTTTTGGAACATCACCATTCAAAGGATAGGAATGAGACAAATTGATCTTGTCAATCGCTGTCTTCATTGTCTCACCCCAAAAGGATTTTGGCAATTTAGCTTGTGAAAGCAAATACCTTGTTCTTTCCATAATGGTGCTGTTCATCTTCTCGGCAACGCCATTTTGTTGAGGAGTCTTCTTAACTGTCTTTTGGTGTTGAATGCCTTGGCTGCGACAACACTCATCAAATGGCCCAATGTATTCACCACCATTGTCTGATCGGATGCACTTCAATTTCTGCCCTATTTATCTTTCAACCATGGCCTGAAAATACTTAAATACTTCTAGAACTTGATCTTTAGTTTTTAGTAGAAAGG